AAAATTACATTCTATGTCTTGTTTTTAAATCGAGCATTTTATTTTGTTGAGGGACATAGCCAACCCTATAAGTATTTGTACCTTCTAAGTCCATTTGTCTAAAATAAATTATAAGTTTGATATTTGAAATAAATTTTTCGTTATAAATATATAGGTACATGTGCAAGGTATATTCAAACCTATTGTTTAATTTAGACAAATTACTACAGATATATATTTCGTTAGTTTGTAATGACACATTCATTTAAAAATATTGAATCTACCATTTATTTTAGACAAATTTTTTCAATAGACAGGTAATGTACGAATACTTATGTAATTTTATATGTGATTACACAAATTCAACCAATTAAAAATGCGGTATATATAATTACATATAATTTTTAATTTAAAAAATGTTAAAAGATCTATTTTATATTCATCAAACGAACCAAAAATGACTCAAACGGATGAGTTGTAAATACTTCAACGAACAAAATAAAATTCCTATTTTAACCACAAGACATAAAAAGTTTTTCCAAAAAGGCTTTAGGGGTCTATTTTTTAATAACAAAATGCTCGTGTCGGCAAAGTTATGTTGGACACTTTCAAGTTCCATTGTATGAATTTTACCTTTATTTTAAATAAAAAATATCAGATATATTTTATACCATTTGCGTTTAATTAAAAAAAAAAATTCTATAGGTTTTCTTTTGGAAAACCTTTTATTTGCTACAACACAAGCATCGACCAGCACAAAATAAAAATTTAACTATTCGATCGAACAAACGTCATGAAGAAATTGCCACGCATTCGTTTTCAATTCTTCCAGAAAAATTGTGCCCATTTTCTGCGAAATGACCATTTTCGCAAATTCCGTACGCTAAATCTGAATTTCATTCAGGACCATTCCCTCCAGTTCGCCAGTGTACGCGATTTTGACCAGTGTGGGACAAAATAATAACTTGTCCAACGTTTTTGTTTATATATGTATAGAAATATGCATTAGAATAAATACATTACGTGCATACTGTAGATTGCTCGTTCTATTTAGTGCAAAAGCATTGAAAATCGCTTTCGTGGAACGAGCTTTATAAAGGATATTAAAAGAAATGTAAACGAAGATTAAAATCAGGGGGACAAAATGACATTTCATTTTTTTAGAAACTATTACATTAAAGTGACACAAAAATCATTAATTTAAAAGATATTTCAAATAAATGTCTTTATTGAAAGAGATGCTTAAACGCTTTCCGAATTTAATTATTTGCATTACGTACTTTTTGTTAAAAAGAATGTAGACCTGAAAATATATTACTTCCATTATAGAACCATTCATCTTCTCTCTGTGAGATTTTTCTCTGACAGTATTAACAATGAAGTTACGACTTCATACACTCACTTGGCCCACTCTGTACATTTCCATAACCCCAGTAAAGCCCAGAAACCCAGAAACCGATTTTCAATGTGCGTACATTTACACGAAATGAGACCTATAATATACAAGGTGCACAAAATATCAATATTCTCACCAACATATTTAGATATAAACGAAAACGTTGGGTGGGCCCTGATTTAATCCTACAATACAGGATCGAATTTGTCGGAAGTGGTGAATAAGGGGTTCGATTGAATTATGGAAAAAGCAGTTTGGAACAATTTCCCCGGGTTTACGGGTCCGTGACGAATCACGAGCTAATACGTGGCTGCACACGTACTCAGAATCGTGGGAAGGTTCCGCATTGGCCGGGCACGCGAAAATAATTTACTATGCGAGCGTAACCGTAATGCCCCGCGGCCTGGTTGAGTTTTGGGTGGGAGGGTTAGCATACTTCGCGGTGATTATTTACCCGCCACGTTTCGCGGGTGCACGTCGAAATTGCACGCAGAACCACCAGACGAAAATCAAAACGCCTTTTTCTCGATTCGAGCCAATCGTACGCCGTTTAATTCCGAACGTCGCGAATTGCGCCAAATTGAAATAGCCGTTGACGGAGCTTGAGGTAACTCTCGAATAAATCTGTCGATATGGTGGAATAAACGCGCGTTATTCTACGATATTGCCCGCGGCACGAATTCGGTATCATTCTGCGATAGAGGTCGGCAACCTTTTTGGGGAGAAAAGAACGAAAATACGGTATTTAACGTATTTCCGTTCGATGCAGCAGACGTGCGTTATTGGTGATTTCACGTATTTGTCTTAACACTTAACACGTTGAATGCCGCGTCATCCATATATGGGTTGGCAGAGCTTTTCATTAAGAAACTTCAATGATTAATTTTAATACGCTGACCGCCACGTTACCCATATGTGTGTGAGAAAAATTTTCATTCAGGAATGAAATATATTAATTCTGAAGGTGAGGTGTTAAAGAAAATAAATCTTGGTAGGATTAATGAATTTGGATGAGGTTGGAGAAAAATAAATTATACCACAAATGTTAAATTGTATCATTTTTTTTTGATTGTATAGAGGCAAAATTTTAACCTCGTAAGAATTTTGACGATTATTGGTCTGACGGTCAACGTGTTAAGGGAAAAGTATTGATGCGAAAAATCTGGATAGGATTCGTAAATTTTGATGAGAATATAAAAATAAGTAATATATCGAATGTTATTATAGATTCTGTAGTCTCCAGTTGTCTGGAAAATAAATTGTAGCTCTGTAGACATTTCCATGTGAATCAGTCTAGTAGTCAACGTGTGAAAGCGCCAACTATTTTATTGGCCACGATAGTTACGAGTTTTATAGTAGTATAGTGGCACAGAGACGATTTTTAATAGTATAAACAATGTGCCATTTATTGTCTAAGGGACGAAACCACATTAGGAGGTCAAATATTGTATTATTTGAAGCTTTTCAAATTTAAGAATATTTATTACTACGTTTTAAAATGCTTTCGACAATTTTTTCAATTCATTTCACGCAAAAATCACTGTCACTCACTAGTCTGTCATGTCGAATTAGAAGAAGAAATTATTAAAATAGATAAATTGATCAAGAGCCGCAGGTGGCTGCCCACTGCTCTATGGGAATAGCAAATTCGCACGATCGCCTAACTAACTGCACCTTTGTTTATGGCGAATAGAGCGAAGCTGTGGACTTATCAGGGCAATGTATAAAACGATCCCCGACGGATTTTATAACATTATACAAGGAAGAATGGTTCGTCTTGTTTAACATCATCTGCGAGAAGTCATTGCAGGGAAGTGGAAAGATCAGTCCTGGAAGGAATTGCGGATCGTGTGGGGGTCAGATGTTTGCGATTGGCAAGTAAGCAAAGATTACTCGACACTGTCTACATTTTCTTCAAACAGGACGATGGCCTGGACTATAAATTAGTCTTTGGAAATTATTTTTAAAGATGGGTGTGTCTAATAATTCAATAAAATATTTATTTGGTACTCGAAAGTAGAGACGTCGAACTATAAATCTACTAAATTTAATTAAAATATTTTAATTTGTGTAAAAGATGTGTGGGGTCATTGTACTAGAACTGGTGGAAAATGCACCTAATAACTAATCATCGCCTAAAATTAAAAAATAAAGAAGTTATACAGTTTGCATTAGTCCGGCGATCGTTAAACAGATGAAACTTTCGTTTCAATATTCAGAATAATTTAGGGATCAAATACCTTTGCCGTCAATTCAGAGAGATGTTTCACGCGATCGAAGCACAGCACTCACATAAAATAATATTTATTATTTATATTATTATTTAATAATATCAAATTTATTGGTACACTGTGGATTTAATGCGATTATGGCGTACATTAATATGGGAAACGTGCAAAAAATATACATGATTCATGTAGGATATATTAATATAATAATTAATATGATGATATTGAATTGACCGATGTAATAATATTATTTCGTTTTGAATAAGTGCATACAGACAGTTCTATGCACTAAATTAAATGGTAAACTTTAAACATCAAACATCAAACCTATCATTTAGTTTGGACAAATTTCTTCAATAAACATAAAGGGTACGAATACTTATGGGACTGACTGTATAATTTGTTAGTTATAATTAGCATATATTTGACATATTCACTTGTACCATAAATGCATGAAATCCACACCTTCTTCGCTAGATTTGTAGTTTAACGTATATATTTTACGGTAACAGATAAATATTTTGTGCGATTATATACCAGTTTCCCAAAAAATATTTTCAGAGGCGGCCTTACTTCCCAGTCCATTACCCTGATAGAATCCTTCGTAACTAGGTAAGACGGAGGTTAGGTGACCACCTAGATGTCCATTCGAATGTAGTAATTAATCATAAATTAACAATTGCAATAATCAAAATTCTACCAAATCGACGAAGCAACACTGCCAACCACTTTACTCGAACATTACTTCCATCATTTACCCCACTCACTTATTCCACATTGCAAGGCTAGAGCGTAACCTCGCTTCTTACACGACAGCCTCGTTCATTGTACGCGTTGGTAAGTGGAGGGAATGGTCACCAAACAGCAAATAAGAAGTAGCAATAAGAATATATTGAGTAGAGCACCTACTCATCCTATTGGTTGCTTCGATAACTCCGGGAACCTCGATTATTGCAAGTGTTTTCACCCCGATTTTTTGCAACAATCAAAATTTTACCAAATCGTCAAAGCAACTCTACCAACAACCCTACTCGAACATTTCTAGATGATCACCCTCCCACCTGTGAAGAATTGACTCAAGTTTGATCTTTCATCCCCCCTACAATGCCCTTAGCACTGACCCCCTGACTCAGAATCACCTTGTTTGACCAAACTCGCGGGGAGTTCAATCTCCCGAGTCGATATCAGTTCTGACATTCTTTGGTATTCGTGGGGTCGCGTTCGCGTGTCTGCCTAATCGCCGAGGGCTGCAGCGACAAAGTGTCTACTAAATAATAGAGTAAATGTCTGACTAAATAATAGCGATCGCGTCGGATTCCGCGTTGATCATCGTCGCGCGTGTCTGTCAAACGGTTCTATCGACGCGAACGTTTCTCGTCCGTACGGTGTTCTCTAACCTGCTGAAGAGGTCCTTGAGCTCGTGCTCAGAAACGAACTGGCCAAGGTTCGCCACAAAGAGGGTGGAACACGGTGCATTGCTGACGGCTATGTTCGGCTGAGACGAGGGCGAACCCACCGGCGATGCCAGTGCCGGCGAAGGTAAGAAATGGGGCAGCGAGGCGTGTATCGACGTCAGCGTCGTAGGATGCGGCATAGACATTGGCGCCTGGAAAAGAAAGAGTACAGGTTTTTCATGGTAACAAATGAGGGGACATATTAAAAGGGATGACATATTAAAATCTACTTGGTGCGGTCATAAGAAAGTGCTTGAAGGTGTTTGACCATGTGTTTCTGGTCATCTTTGGGAATAATGCAGTGTTTACTGAACGGGGTTTTAGGAAATTATGTCTTAGAACTTCAGTGGAAGCTAGCCTTACTATTATACATTGTTATAATTAATGATGTCTTAATACTTTGTTATTTATTATTGGCAACGGTCAGTAATTTACTAAAAAAGTGATACTTTAAAAAATAGTTCAAACAAAAGTTGTGCATCTCGATAAGATATGAAATTATTGTCAAATATGTTTTTTTCCAGAATCACTATTTAAATAATAGAATTGAATAATAGAAATGGAGCAAAATGCATCGTGCACAATTCAGTAATCTAACATAAAACATGAAATATTGTGCATGTATTACTTATTAATAAAGCGAAAGAAACTTTTGGGACAATCTAATATTTAACGAAATGTGCTTAATTTAGACCGAGATAGTGAAAAATAATTTTTATAGACAATTTTGGATTTTTACTAAAATCGAAGGGAAACCTTGCGAATTCCTAAAAAAATATTCCAATTATTTTTAAATAATTTGGGTTTCACTTTAGAGAGAAACTTTCTAAATGCTTCATGTAGAGTGTCATATGATCTACAACGAAACAATCCAAAATGGTCATTATTAAGAAAACTACGAATTTTTTAAGATTACGTAACATTTTACATATTTTTCCGCCGAAAAGTACTAAAAGATAGTGATTAGATACATATAACTGATTAAGATTTATTATGTAATAAAATATTTGGAAATAAATTGTAAGTTAAAAAACAGAAGCTATTTATGAATCAGCCTAATAAACTAAATAGATATATAAATAGAATGAAAATTGTTATTCTATCTAAGAAAAGAAAATTTTATTAACCAGAGATTCATCAACGAATCTAAGGAATTAATTGTGAATTTCGTAAAATCCTCACAGCTACATATTTTCAACTAAAGCCTCACAAACAATGCATAATTATAAAATAATTTCCACGACGACCTCAACGATTTTAATTGTTTGTCAATCATTCAAAGAAAATTTTGACTTTAAATGATTTCACTATCGTTAGATATTTTCCACCAAAAATATAATCGACGAAATTGTATGAAGAATACAAATACATACACACTATCGAGAATATCGTCCATGACCCAGCTATGCAACGCATTAATTAACGCAGGAACCGTGTCAAATGAAAATCCAGCATAATTTGTAGCAACATTATCGACTTGCCGAACGATTAATGATTCAATAACAAGAAATTCCTTGCTCGAGTACGTCAAAGCGAATTATTCTCTCTTCGCATACGGGCGGAGAGAATTCATATCCTGCGCCTAATTAATTTTCATATGAAATGTACCTCAAACATCATACCAGTATGCTTACGGGACACTGGTGTATTTTATTAATACACGGTGTCGGAATTATTCTCAACATTGAACACGGCGACGCGCAATCAATTCGTAATTTGACGTTATAACATGTCGCTGGTAATGTCCGTGTAATTATGTGTTGCGCTACTCATCGCGGTAATCCTGTTTTGCTGCACTGCTGCATTTTCTTTTCGTCGTCGGTTGCAAAATCAATTCCTTCATTTGCCCGAGTATTTCTCGTGAAAACGGGCCTAGTAAACAGGATGGCGAATTAATTTTCGGTTAAACAGAAAAAGATAACTTTTTGAAGAAATTTCGTTGAAGTAATAAATAAAATGCCGATTTTTTAATCACAAGAACTTCTAAAATCCTCTATGAATAATGTCATATAGAAATTTTAAGATTAAATATATATTTTAGGTGTAGAAATTAATTATGTGCATCTGTATTCAATCATTTGTAACTAGACCGGATATTTATGTAAATTGATATTTTCACAGATACAGAAAAATAATTAATACTTAAATGAAAGTATGATTTATCTTTTTGAAACAGTGTAACATGTATGTTATTCTTGATATTTTATATATTTTTACACTTGTGTACATTCCATCTGTCATGAATGTATAAATCTCTATACGAATCTCTAAATATAATCCAACTCTGAACCTGATGGACACTAGATACAGCGTAATATTTTACTGATTGTTATTCTTTTACAATTATTATAACTATTTGTTACATTTGTAATCTGTTAAACGAAAAATGATGAACAAAATTTTATGCATACTGAATTTCGTATATGTATGTAGATAGATTGCAATGGCCATTAAGTTGAGACTTAGGTCATCAAGTCGAGAACTAGAAGCTTGGTACTTCCACGTAATAAAATATCGAGCAAATATTTTTACTTGAACTAGAGTTAGAAACACAATATAAATAATAAATAAATACTAAATGGTAAAATATAAAGGCACAAAATTAATTCTAACACCTAATAATTTAAGAAGTTCTGATTATTGTACCGTTAAGAGTTTCAGGAAAAATCCCTTTAACAATGAAAGGATGCCTAAATAAAAAAAAGAATGTACAAAAAATAATGTCATTTTTAGGAAAACTTAAGATTATTGACAAAATGTAATTATAACAAGTGTGAAGAACATAGGTTATGAGACGTATGCATATTTGTATGTAAACAACCTCTGTATAAATTACCACTATATTTGTAACAATGAAAACTAAGCTAATGCTAAATTAAACAAAATGCGAAATAAAAAAGCAAACCAAAGATAATGTCTGTACTTATTTCAACTGATTTCTTTTTCTAAATATATCCCTGAGTTGTATTAATTCAATTTATTGTTTTTATGACACATTTTTTGTCATTATTTTTTGTCATTCTTTCTTGTATTCTTTTTTTGTACTATTATTTGTATATTGTCTGTTCTTATATTTTTAGAATTGAGTTGTTTATTGGACATTCGTTAACCATCGAAGCACTCTACCTCTCTATTGCGTGGATTATTTTATTTTTTCAAAATGAAATTATTCCTCTTTCAAGCTAAATAATAAATGATCGAAGAGTTATTAGACGTTCTCAAAGGAAATTGCTCTAGTGAACTTTAATGGAATTATTTTTAATGGCTTTTCCGAATTTGTTTAGTTGCTGAGCACTTTTCATCTCAACATTTTGATTTTTCAAAAGTAAAATGTCATTGCATTACAGTGCACAGCTATTTTTTTTTATAGATGTCACCATAGTGTGTAGAAAATCCATGAAAAACAATTCATCTGATAACCTACATCTGATACAACGAACGAATAACTGATGGCATAACTACGAAATATAACTACAGACCTCGTTTTTCCAAACCGCTTGATAAAATGTGCACTTTACAATGGTTTGTGTATTATTTTCAACAAAAAATCGGTGCGATCCAAGCAGCCCATCAAACAATCAAATCTTGGATGTTAACAGGATATCCTGATGATTTGTTTCTAAAGTAAAGATAGTAACTTACAAAATAAAGATAAAAGTGTATGTCTTTTAAATATTGAGTCTTTTTTGGATAGGCATCCGCGATCGTAGACGGAATTAGGAAAATCTCGACTGTGTATGATTCACAATGGAAACGCTTATGAAAGCAGACCGCGAATTTCGCGAATGAAATACTCTCTATTTAGCCGAGTTTCTGCCTTATTATCTCGTCGAGTGGAGTCTGCGGAATATTTTTATTCCCGTTAAGAAAATGGCGGGCTCGTTAAGTTGAAAATGAATGCTTGCTTCCGTCTCTTAAAATTAAACGAATGTTTGTCAATTCCCCCGGAGCCTCCCTATACAACCTCGAATATAAATGAACACTTTTTCATCATTTACTTTCAATACTTTTTCACAAATTGCTGTTGCTCGTAAATTGTCGTAACGAAAACGCCAACTAAAAATAAAACTACTCCCTTTTAAGTTACGTGAATTCAACTATAATTTAACGATTTATGTATATTATCTTTCTGTTTAATATTAATAATATTTTATTCCGAAGTTTACCATAAAAAAATTAATTCCTATTTTAGTCTGCAATATTATCGGATCATCTAACTCTAAGTTTCCCTGTTTTATTCGTTAGTCGTTGTTCTAACGACTGGCTGCCAGATGACGATTTTCACGATCGTCGGTTATTTCATAAAATAGGGTGATTCTTATTCCAAAATGACGCAAGTAAAATCATCACTGGCTGTTAGACTATATCTAAAAGTATTGAGTGAGCAACCCCTGGTTATGCACCGCAGTGTATAACGAACTTAATCCCACCACTAGGCGATATCCTTCGCGATAGTGCGTGATAGGTACCCCCGTGAACCTGGCACAGGACTAGACGATATTAAAAATCAATAGCTTCTGTTTGGCGAATTCGTACCACACAGTACCACACCGTTCCGATCGTTCCACCATCGAACGGTGGGTACGACGACGGTTACGATGCGCGCCAGAAAATACCAAGAAACGTTAAAAAGCGGCTTTATCGTTGTTTACGATGGAATTAACAGTCGGGGTAATTAACTCGCGAGCGTGATTAGCTCCTGGTATCGTGGAAACTTTAACGATCTTAAAATTGGAATTATCGCATGCAATCGAAGAACCTGAAGTTCTGAAATGTGTGTTCACTTAATTAAGAGAAAATTTCGTGGTCTCAACGTCGGGCTGCAACTTTTCCATCAAACTTATTACGTTAGAATTGAGTTCCGCGAAATCTCGGAATTCTGTTGTTCGATCAATGCTATGCCTTCGAGGGCAATTTGTTCGAAAACCATCAATTAAATTCTGAGGTTTTACGTGCATATGAATAGAGCGTGTATTATTGGCGAATGGCAAAAACCGTGGCACGAATGGAAAGAGAATATTATATTCGCAGTGAAATTATATACAAAATTAATTGGTGTTACAGAAGTTTAAATACATTGGAAAGGTAACTTGAATGTTTCAGTGCGTGAAATATTAAATTATATTGTCAGTTTCCCATACTTTTCAAAAGTCTTTATTGTAAATATGTATTCTTTATTGTATCTTTATTGTATTCTGTTTTTAAGAAAGCCTATTTGAGGAAACTTGTGGTGGAACGATTCAAGGACCATGATGATTTTGAGAAAAATATGTATTGAAGCTTTAGAACAATTGTAATATGTGTATAAAATAAACGTTTAAATGTAAAACCATATGGTTAATTTGTATACCTAATTACTTAATATATACTTAATTTTCAAACATACTTTTAATTTGTTAGATCCTTAGACCCCTGATATTTTTATTTAGGTACAGTGCATGATTAAGAAGTTTCGTGAGGCAATTTTCATACTTTTGAGTTTCAACAAGACATAATCTGCATTGTTACTTAGCTTTTCAATTTATGAGTATCACTAACATTTATATTTTTAATTTAGTAAGTAACAGTGCACGATCAAGATATTTCATACGACAATTTACACATTTCTGACTTAGAAAGAGACCTGCATTTTTATTTATCTTTTCAATTCACAAGAATTACTAGTGTTTTTATTCGGTCCATAAATTAATTTTAGTTAAGGAAAAATACTCGTCATTTTGTTACATTGAAATACTAATTATACAATTTCTCAACTTAATCTACATGAAAACATCTCTACAATGATTCTATATATAGATAAACCTTTCAAACTTACAAGCATCGCTAGTATTTTTATTTTTAACATGATACAAAATACAGCACGATTAAGAAGTTTCGTGCAATAATTTCTATAATTCTGATTTTCAAAAACACCTACCGTTAATATTTATTTATCTTTCACTAATATTTTTACTTTGAAAGTACATGATCAAAATGGTTCGTGCGACGATTTTCTCGGTTCCAAACTCCCAAAGGAAGCGTTGTCCGGCGTGAACGTTCCGGTGTTCGAACAAGTAAATCCCAGTTTATCGAGGCAGGTCGAGCTCGTCGACGACTGGTTTCGTATTCTCTACGTGCATGTCTACTATTCTAGTTGTATCGTATAGTAATCGAGTATAACGATCATGTATCACTAACGTGCATCGGGGCGCTCGTCGGCGGCTCCAGAGCTTTGTCTGCAGATAGTCAAAGATAGGAACGTACGGGGACCTGAGGATGTAACGCCGGATGGACCAGCGTCGCATGTTGCAGCGTGCCGGGTAATTCGCCAGCAGTCGAGTACGCCAGTGGATGGTGCCACAATTCAGGACCACCAGGGAAGAATGGGCTCCCTAGGTCTGGAATAGAACATACAGTTAGTGCGAAAGATTTACACAGCCACCGGTAGTTTCGATGGGAACGATTAACGGCGTTTAATTAAATTCGAGGTCTCGCTTGACGTCAACCTTTGCTTGAGTGGTGCGGGAACCTACTGGTTTATGGAATCAGTACACCTATCGTATTTTTCAGAGTTCTTTCTTTATAAAATATTATTTATTTAATACGTTCAGTGACGAGTCTTGCTTATTTTTCTGTCTATTCATGCTATGGCATTCAGAGAGTCAGCGAGATATAGCCTATAAGTATTGGAACATCTGGTACATTTGTATAGAATGAGATATTTACCGCAGAATAACATTTTTCATTGCTTTTATGTTCTGGATTTTATTAAAATACACGTTCAATTATATTAGGTTGTCCTAAAAGAGTCTTCCGTGACTTGCACTCAGTTATTTTGTCTAGCAGTGTTTATATAAATAGACAACTTAATTTCTTAGACGTTAATGTTGTAACAGTAATGGAGCAAAATGAATCGTACTCAATTCAATAATGTAACATTAGACAAAAAATATTGTGCATGTATTACTTATTAATGAAATGGAAAAAACTTTTGGGACAACCTAATAGATATTTATTGTGTATGGTCAGTTTCATGAATATTTCCTACTCTATGAATATCGATAAAATTTGTCTAAATTAAATGATGGGTTTGACGTTTCTAAATAAATTTTCCTATATAAATATATATAAAAATAAATAAATATAAATAAATATATATAATATATAAATGTGTGAGTGTAAAGTTTATTCATCTATATGTTTATAATGAAACGTTTATTTGGAAATATCAAACCGATCATTTAATTTTAGACAAATTTTATCAACAGACTTAGGGATTAGGAATACTTATGAGACATATACATGTTAATAATCAAATTTGGTGAAATTTTGAAATCATCGACATTTAATTAAAGAAAATTATATATTTCCATTAACACTATAAGGAAAATGTAATAAACTACATGTTTATAGATATCTTTTCTCATGTACGCGTGTTGTTTGTCATTAAAATCTATTATTGTACGATTTACATAATTGAATTAATAAAAACATAACATAGAAAACATATCAATGACCTTAAAATCGTATCGTAAACCATGATTTTGAAATAAAATTTCATTTATAGGAATACTTGTATACGCCCTTCGAACCAGCCTTCTTCTTGGACAATGTTATATCTTGAAAATAAACGAAGCTGCTCTAAATCTTTACATAAAAGCAAATACCTTGCGAAATGTTTTTATTTTAATTTTCCAAGAACTCTCATCAACGCGTTCGTGGACCCCTAATTTGGCATACAATTCGAGACCCTATTCCGCCAATCGTGAACACGGTATAACACGATCACGTTTCGTGTAACGGTCAATCAGCGTCTACAACTTCATTTTGATTAAGGTGCGATCACTGAAAAACGTACCAATTTTATCGCTAATGACATTACGCAGACGTTCTTTTCAAGCAGACGCGTTATTACACGTTGTGCCCGTCGTTTCGTACGTTCCTGCACCATCGCGGGATTATTAACAGTGAAACTACATAATGGCGTTATATCGCCATCGAGTGTAATCACTGTCGTTGCACGGAAGGAACATTACGGACTTCTTGGAAACGCGAGTCGGAAAACGCTTGTGATTAGCCGCTACGGTTGAAAGAGCCGCGATGAATGTCACTCGACGAGGACTGTCTAATCTCGAAGAATGGTATTACACGTTTCTTATTGAGTCTCCAAGGACGAAGGACGGTTTGTATGTCAACATTATCTAATCTAAATACACTATGGGTCAGTGTAACTTTCATGTCACGTGCTAATGACATTTTATACCAGATAATTTTAGATTTTTTACAAAATTACGTGTACGTATGAATTACAGTGAGTAACTTTAATATTCGGACACCATGAGATTTTTACTTTGTTACATCATAACTTCGTTTCTAATAAAACAAATAAAAAACATGATCAAGTATTATATTAAGGTATATGTGTAGTAAACAATAGTATAAGTTTTACTTACATAACTTACAATAGTTGTTAAATAATACGATTTAAACAAAACATTGGCTGATTTTCGCGTTACTTTAATATTCGGACACATGGTAGTGTAGCATGAGTTTTTCTGAGTGTTTACGCAGAGTTACTTCGAGTTAGTAGGAGTATTTGTTTACAAATGCAGTCGACTGTTCGGATGATACTAACAAGCTTTATTTCATCAGTTATTCTTCGATAACCGTTACGTGCACGTGTATAATGGTCACGCAAAAGCAATACCACGTATAATATACGACAACTTGTGATTTTTCACAATGCAAAGGGGAAATCATGTAGACAAATTGCTGCCATACTCAACATGAGTAAGAGTACAGTGGCAAATATCATTAAACGATTCAAATACGAGGATCGTCTAGACTCTATGCCCCAAAAGGGCCAACCGAAGAAGTTGGATGCACGTGATAAGAGGAAACTAATAAGAAAAATAAGAAGGATCCTTCACTTAGTGCACCAAAATTAACAACAGAGCTCTTAAACGAGACTGGGTAGAAGGTACATCCCCAAACAATCCGCAAAAGCTTCACAAGATAGTGGTTACAATGGAAGAGTAGCTAGAAAGAAATCGTGTGTGAATAACCAGAATCGAAAGAAGAGATGAAATTTTGCTAAAGAAT